CATGGCAATGAAATGATAGATGATGGAATAAATGTAAAACTAAAGTTCTCTCATCTAAACATGTAAACTATCATATAATTCACAATAAAATATTAAAAAAAAAAAGGCATTACTTGCCATCCATCCAAGTATATAAAGGCATTGTTAGTTAATCTTTGAAGGCTAAAGAATGGAAATTTTCATTGTTCTGATTATTTAGTAATAAAGAAATTGTACGATGCAAAAAAAAAAAAAAAAAAGAAAAGGACTTTGGGAACCAACTTGAATATAATTCCACTGATTAAAGATGGAACAATCTAAGGATCAGTTTAGAATGATAATAACAATAGTTTGAGATATATATGAAATAATAATGATATTTTAAAAGTTCATTGGTCTCCTTTAAAGGATACAAGGGAACTGATCTGTTTTGTTTTTAAGAATCAAGAATACATCCTCATTATTGATCTTTAAGAAGATCAATAAAATAAAATTGTGATGAGGGAAAAGTCACCATTATAGAATTATTACAAGAATAATAAGAAGAAATAATACAATTAATATATTTAGTTGTTTGATTTTTTGTTTTTGTTTTTTTTACATCAAGGGAATTATTTGTTGCTAAGTGCCATCAAGGAGGGATCCAACTCATAGCGACCCTGTATAGCGTTTCCAAGGAGCAGCTGGTGAGTTAGAACTGCTGGCCTTAATGGCCTAAACCGACATTGCAGTTTACCGCATTAACAAGCAACGCCATACCAGAAGTATAGCTACGGTTAAATAACAAAAAGTGCATAAATTACTGATTGGAAAATTAATTTTCTCTATAAACATTCACCTAAACCATGATTTTTTAAATTGTGATTTTTGTCAGCCTTAAATATTCGGAGTCCTTGTGTGGCACTATTACATAAGCACTGAACTGCTAAGTAGTACAAGGTTGGTGGTTCAAATGACCTAGCTACTCATTGGAAACCCTGTAAAGGGTGGATATGAGTCGGAACTGATTTGAAGGCACTTAACAACAATAACAAATAATCAATCTAGGCAATGATCCTCAATAGCTTATAACATCTTTAAAAAAGAGAAACAATCAGATATTTTTTGCCTTCTGATGGAAGGTACTAACTAAACAACAAATTGAAAAGCAAACAGACCTAAAAGTTTAACAGTCAAGATACATGATAAACAGCATAGAAAAACAGATTAAATGACTAGCAATGCAATCAGCAGAATCAAGACAGAACAAGCAACTGCCCTTTTTATTTCTGACATAAATATGCAAGAAAAGAGAGAAAGGGGTCGGGACACCTATAGAGAAATTTAAGAGACTAATTGTGGCATTGCAAGATAAATACTAGACTTCAAAATTGGTTTGGACATTAAGATTGGCAGTTCAAACCCTCCAGCTGCTTCTTGGAAACAAACCCTAGACAGGGTCACTATGAGTCAGAATTGACTCCACAGCTCTTAACAACAATTATTTCATAGACTTTATTTAGATCATGATTCAGTAAAAAATGAAAACAGTTTTGTTTCTTTTTTCAAATCAGAAAAATGTGAACATTGAATTTTTGATGATCATACGGGAAGATTTTTTTAAAAAAATTTAATTGTGGTAAAAACTACTCACCACAAGGTTCAAATCCACCAGTTACTCTCAGAAAACTCATACAGTGTTGCTGTGGGTTAGAAGTTAGAGTTGGTACCGACATGATGGCACCTAACAACAACAACAACATGCGCCATGGAGTTGGTTCTGACTCATAGCAACCCTGTGCAGGGTTTCTGAGGCTGTAAATCTTTACTTAAGAATAAAAATATTAATGGGGGCTTCAGTTCTTTGTTTCTACCCTCTTTTAGAGATCCATGAAGAAATGTTTACAAATTGATATTTTTCTTTAAAATAATTAAGTAATGTAAGAGGGTGGAAATAATTATGAAACAATATTATCTAATCACTAGTAATTATTTAAACTAGTTAAATGTGTACTTTTACATAGAGGCTATCCTCTTATTTGATTTTCAAGAAGTTCCATAGCAAAAAAGTTTTTATAAAAGAAAGCCCTTAAAATCAGCATTCTTTTTTCCCTTCCATCGGAGTCCTGGTGTGGTGCTGTGGGTTAATGCGCCAGATAGAAAAGCCGTCTGAACTGCAAGATTGTTAGTTCAAGCTTACCAGCTGCTCCTCAGAAACCCTATACAGGATCAATATGGGTCGAGACCCACTCGACGGTCTTAGCAACAACAACCAAAAATACAATCCGTAACAGTACAGTTCTACCTCAGAAGCAATCATGAGAGATGGTGTGTGATGACCTCTGGAATAAGCCTCTAATTGCAAGGAGCTGGAGTTCTGACTTATCAAGTGCTAATGTGGCTGATCAGTGCTTCAATAATGAACATCTCCAACGAGTGATTATTTGGGTTTGTAACCCAGGGTCCATGGTATACAAATCCATATAAAGAACACTTGCTTCTACACCCTCTGCATGTTGTTGTTATGTGCCATGGAGCGACCCTGTACAGAGTTTCTGAGGCTGTAAATCTTTACAGGAGCAGAAAGCCTCATCTTTCTCACATGGAACAACTGGTAGTTTCAAACTGCTGACCTTGCAGTTCGCAGCCTGATTCGTAACCACTATGCTATACCCTCTTCCTATTTCTTAGTAATCAAATTTTCAGGTGGCAAACATGTTTGCATGATTTAAAAAGTGAAATCATTTGAATACTTTCAGTTGAAATGAAAGCTGTACTGCTAATGCTTAATCACTTCTGGCTCCTACATCACTATGAGTTTTAATTTAACATGGCTTTCCCTTGCTTATTTTCTAGTTATGACAGCTAGATGACATGACACGGTTGCACTTCAAGTTTCATTTTTAACAGAAAAACATAAGTGAATTGTAGTGAAACACATCTATCATTTGAAGTGTTGTACAAACAAGTTCAGAGAAGGTTCAGCCCAGATGGTACGATTCTGAGCATCACATCTTATTTTTGCAGAGTTGAGAGATGTATGCAGATTCGTAAGGACTTAGATCTTGTCACTGTTGGTATGAAGTGCTGTCGTGTCAGTTCCAACATGCAATGACCCTTAATAGATTCCCAAGGAGTGGTTGGTGGGATTGAACCATGGACCTTTGCAGTTAGCAGTCCAGTGCTTATCCTACAGCACCACACCAGGACTCCTTGTCCTTTTATCTCACTTTATGTATAAACTTCTCATGAGGATGTGTTGTCAGCAGCAGCTATTACGTGCACTAGGATTCCATGGAGTACAAAACATGACATTTTAATGTAGATTTTCAGTGGTCTTGTAAAGTACAAAGAAAAGTGCAAATGCAAATGAAGTCCTGATTTTACTGCTGACATTCATTTTATCTTGGAGCCCCAAAGGCTGGCAGTGGTCAGGAATATGGCACCAAAACCCTTTGCCATCAAATCAATTCCAACTCATAATGACCTTATATAGGACAAGATAGAACTACCCTCTAGATTTTCAAGTACTGGAAGGAGATACGGTGGTGATTAGAGGAAGACTACCAATGAGATGGACTGACCAAGTAGCAGCATCGATGTACTCAAGCATGGCAAGTGTTGAGAGGTTGGCCCAGGATCAGGCAGTGTTTCGTTCTGCTGTGCATAAGGTTACTATTGAGTTGGTACCGACATGATGGCACCTAACGACAACAACAACATGCGCCATGGAGTTGGTTCTGACTCATAGCAACCCTGTGCAGGGTTTCTGAGGCTGTAAATCTTTACGGGAGCAGAAAGCCTCATCTTTCTCCTGCAGAACAGCTGGTAGTTTCAGGTGGACTTTACTGCCATATTTTTCTCCTGTGATGGGTACTGGTGGATTTGAAACAACAAACATTCTGTTATTAGTCAAATGTTCGAATCACTACATGACCAGGGCTCCTTGGAATATGGCAAAGGTGGATATTTTCAGATTATTTTTATTTCACAGTAACTGACTTGCTTTTATGGTTACAAGCAAGCTGTACTGTTTGGAATACCATTTCACCTTGCTACACATACATTGCCCCCTGGCCCTGCAGTATATTGTTTAGTCAGAACTCATGGCAGATCATGAAAATCACGCCACTCGGCTTGCCATTCACCATGTCACAATCATTGTCAAACAGGCAGCATCCATAATTTTGTCTCATCACCACATAAATGTCATGGCATGCTTTCCTGGAAAAAGCCAACCTAGCTTTCTCACTGTTGTTGTTAGTGATCATGGAGTTGGCCCTTAACTCATGACAGCCCCTTGCACAATGGAACAAAATGCTGCCTCATTCTGTACCATCCCCATGGTTGAATGTGGATTGGACTATTATGACCCATAGAATTTTCGTTGGCTGATTTTCAGAAGTAGATCACCAGACCTCTCTTTCTAGTCCATCTTAGTCTACAAGCACCATTGAAACCTATTTACCACCATAGCAATGCAAAAGACTTCAGTGGCAGATAGACGGTGCGTGAGGTACATTGATTGGCCTCTCATGACAAAGATGAAGAGCTGGACAAAGGCAGTGGTTGGAGCAGATACAATAAGCAGAAGGATAGTACCAAGATGAAGGTCTATTGACAACATAAAGAAGTTCCACCTTTATCCTAAAACCAAACCCATGTCTCCTGCATGGAAATTGAGAGTTCTATCACTGAGTCACCAATGCCTCTACTTTCTCACTACATGTCAAGATTAAACAGTATGTAAGACATATCTGAGCATACCTGATATATATCAACTTTCACATTTGGCACAGTTTACATACTAGGCATGATATGGGAAAAACATTCATTAAAAATACCCTTACCTGATAAGTGGAGAGTACTTGTCCTATTCAAGGAACTGAAAATATATTCTGTAAAATAGTCTGAGGAAGGCAAGTTTATTTGTCCCAGACAAACATTTTGGAGGGACAAAGCAATGATTGTTGCAGCCAACTGAGGGAGTGTGTTTTCATCAGCACCGTCACTGTTTAGTATTCCAGATATCTCCTGCAGCATTTTGGTTTGCATGCACTGAAATCCAGATACAAAGTGGGAAAAAGTTAGTCTCTCAATTCATTTTGACTTGAAACATCTATAGGACGTCCCCAGAAGATGAAGAGTTTTTCATCTAAAAGAGGATAGAACTGTTTTCAGTGATATTGTTAACAGAATTCTATAATCTCAGGTGTAAATGTATTGAGAAGATAATGATTTTTTTTTTTTTAATCTGCCATGTACTGAACTTTCTAACCCCCACTCCACTGGTCCATATTCATCCAGGTTTTCTCATTAGTCTCTTAAGATGTTTTCTCTAAAAGGTAGTCCTGCTCTTACTACTGACATTGTTTCACTTGGTGATTTATTTCTCTCTAGCTTCAAGTACAGCCAGCTTTGACTTTATATTGGGGCTCTGCTCCCTTCTATCATCACAGACAACCTCCACTTTAAGGGCTGCCTTCAGTTTCAAGTTCAATGTATGCTGATTGCAAGCCAAAGCCAGCATGCACTAGTATCTGTGTTCTTTAAATTCCTATCTTTTTTATATATGTATGTTAAATATAAGCCTCTCCTAAACATGAACACTCAAAACACAACTACTCTTTCATTAGTATTCCCATTCAATAAAAAAAAAAAAAATTATGTTGATTGCCAGGCATGATGCAAAGTTGATTTTATGTATATATGTTCATGTAATCTCTCAAAACTTAGTGAGGTTTATCTTTTCATTCCCATTTTATAGATCACCTGGTCAGGAAAGGGCAGAGTTCAGATTTATACTCAAATCTGATGCCACTGTTGTTGCTGCTATTAAGTACCATTGAGTCAGTTCCAATCCATACCAACCCTGTAGAGGGTTTCCAAGGAGCAGCTGGTGAGCTTGAACTGCTGACCTTACAGGTCAAACTGACTTTGCAGTCCAGCGCATTAACCCACAGTGCCACACCAGGACTCCAATAGCCTAGCTCTTAAATGATCTTCCTCTTAGGCATGGAAGTAAACTGAAATATAGGATGGTGTAGGATCCTGTATCATCAAAGTGAGTTCTGCAGCATAGTGCTTGGAATGGGCAGACAAGGTCTTAAAATGATACCTACCATCCACTAGCTGAGTGACCATGGATAAAATGTTTAATCTTTATAGTCATCATCTGTAAAAGGACGCAATACATGCACTACCCACCTCAGAGTCTATTTAGAGATAATATGTGTAAAACACTTTCTAGAATTTCTGGCACATAAGACACAGTCAACCTTAGCTACTATCATTATTGTTCCCAGTGTCTAGTTGTATGCTTGATAGGTAGTAATCTGGAGGAGGCAAGATCCAGATTAAGGAGAGTCATATATTTCATACTATGAAAAACTTCCCCAGAAGGATTTGTATAAACCACTGAAAACTATAGACAAGGAAATACTAAGGTACGTTATAAAAACATTGCTCTTGTGGCAACGTAAATGGATTGGCAGGGATCAAATTTAAGGTCAAGAAGTCTGGTTAAGAAATTATTACGTCAGGCAGTTAAGATGATGGACAAGGTAGAAAGGCTGTATAAACCCACTACAAAAAGACATAAGGAATAACCAAATAAAACTGATGTCGATGATAGTCCTGGAACTCTGAGCTTAAGATAAAGGGATGGAGAAGTGAACTGAATGTTTAATATGAGAGAAAGCTGAGCAGACACAGCAAAACAAAGAGAAACTGCTGATAGGAGCTGGTGACCAGAAAGACAAAATCATCTTGAGCTTTTATGAGTGGTGTCAGAGACAAGAAATCTTATTGGTATTGCAGAAACATACCTATGGTTCACAGAGAAAGGGTGTGAGTTTTTTCTTGTTTTCCACACTTCCCTGGTGACCAGAGCAAGGTCACCCCCCCCATCAGCACACACTCCTAGGTTAAGCTTTCAGAGATGCACAGAGATGAGCACCATGGTTGTGGTCCCATTAAAGCAAGGGAGGGCTTTCCACATTGACCGCATTTGGGTGGGCCCTGCTCCAGTTCTGCAGAGTTAGCCTTGGCTAGTCCTGGGCTAGCCCTCATTAAGAGAAACCACTGATCAGATGTATGCAGGAGGGTAAAAAACAAAAAACAGACAAGAAACTGCTGATTGATTTTTGCCAGAGGCCAGGCTAGCTATAATGTAGTCATCTTGAACTTTTACAGACAAAAGGGCAGTAGGTGGAAGCACAAGGGTGAAATTTTTCTTTATTCTTCTTGTACCTCATATTACTTTGGTGTCTAGAGATGTGGTCAGTACCAATTCATGTACACTGCCAGGGAAGCTACTGCTCTCTGGGCAGTCAAAATTGCATCAACATGTGTGGGGAGTTAGCAGCATCAACCACAGCACCTGGAATCTGGTGTGGTCTATTCCACATCCACAGAGCAGGTTCTGGTCAAACCTGGGCCAGATGGACTTCTCACCCTTGGCTCGCCTCTGAGATGGAAATACCCAGATATCCCAGATGCTTTAGGGCTTGCATGAACTGCCTCTGATTGGGCACTCAGAAATCAATACACAGCCCTCCAGGAACTTCATCATCTAGGGATGAGTGTTACCATTACATCCCTTACCCATCTATGACAGGAGGTCTCTGGCTGGCAGGAGACCCCAGATCTCTACTCTCTAGGACTGGTGGCTGCTCTGTTCTATTGTTTTTTCATTCATTATTTTTGTTCTTTTTTCTTTTCCCCTTGCTTTTCATTCTCTTTTTTCTTTCTATTACCCCTTTCATTTTGCTTCCTTTTTCCCCCCCTGCTTCTCTTTCCCAACTGCTCCTGTGTCTTTCTTCTTCTTTCTCTCACTCTCTCTCGTTTTTTTTTTTTGTTGTTGTTGTTGTTGTTTTTGGTCCCTCTTTATTCTATTTATCATTCATTTGACTACTCTCTGTTTTTGTTCTCTTTTACTCATTCCTCTCCCTAATTATTTTTAGGACCTTCTCTACCTTTTTATTTTCTCTGCTTTATTTTTCTTTTATTATATTATTTTCCTCTACCTCTTTTCTTTGTTTGGTTTTATATTCTTTTTCTAGCTTTTGCCTGTTGTTTTCTTTACTGTTTTCTTTATGTGTGTGTGTGGTTGTCTCTGGTTTGTGTTTTTTTTCCTTCTCTCTTGTGTGCGTGTTTTCTCTTCTTGCCTCACCTCACAGGAGATAGCAACTGCAGTCATTCAGCAAAGCCACAACTGTCTCCTCTACAGCCCCACCCATTGAGCAAGATCCAACACCAGATACTCTGGATCAACAGTAATTACCAATACCAGTCAAATCCATCCTAAACTGAACTGCATGAACTGCATGAACTGCATGAGCTGCATGAGTGGCGAAAATAGGACGGTGCACAAGCTGATCTCCTGATCCCACCCATTAGGAGACAGGTGAATGCCTAAGAATGCACCAACATGCACTCATCAACTTAATACAAACACAACACCACAATGTCTCAAAAGCAGCAGACAATTTTGTACTCACAAAAAAACAAAGACAGACTGACTTAAACAAATGACCAAAAGGCAGAGCTATAAAATATTTTTCCAGAAAACAAAAGCATTAAAATTTCCTGGAGAAAAATTCAACAGAGTGATGTTTAGGTATATCCAAAGGACTGATAGAAAGGTAGAGGAGAACAAGCCATCCTGGCTTTCAAGGAGCACTCTTAACTGTACTTCATTCAACACAGACCTAGTTGTTCTTTTGCAAATCCATGGTACTTTCAATATTCTCCTCCAACACCATAACTCAAATGCATCAATTCTTCTACAGTCTTTCTCATTCACTGTCTAACTTTCATATGCATATGAGGTTATTGAAAATACCATGGCTTGAGTCAGGAGCACCTTATTCCTCAAACTGACATCTTTGCTATTTAACACTTTAAAAAAGTCTTGTGCAGCAGATTTACCTAATGCTATACATAGTTTGATTTCCTGACTGCTGCTTCCATGAGTGTTGATGGTTGATCCGAGCAAAATCAAGTCTTTGATCATTTCAATCTTTTCTCCATTGATATGAATGCTTTTTATTGGCTCAGTAGTAGTGAGGATTTTTATTTCCTTTACATTGAGATGCAATCCATACCAAAGGCTGTGCTCTTTGATCTTCATCAGTAAGTATTTTAAGTCCTCTTTACTTTCAGCAAGCAAAGTTGTATTATCTGCATATCACAAGTTGTTAATTAGTCTTTCTCCAATCCTGATGCCACGTTTTTCTTCATATAAGCCAGCTTCTCAGATTATTTGCTCAGCATACAGGTTGAATACATATGGTGAAAGAATACAACCATGTTGCACACCTTTCCTAATTTTAAACCATTTGGTGTTCCCTTGTCCTGTTCTAACAACTGCCTCTTGGTCTATGTACAGATTCCTCATGAGCACAATTAAGTGTTCTGGAATACTCATACTTCGCAATGTTGTCCATAGTTTGTCATGATCCATACAATTGAAAGGCAATGCATAGTCAATAAAGCACAGGTAAACGTCTTTCTGGTGTTCTCTGCTTTCAGCCAAGATCCATCTGACATCAGCAATGATATCCCCACATACTCTTCTGAATCCAGCTTGAACCTCTGGAAGTTCTCTGTCAATGTATGTTTGTAGACATTTCTATATTACCTTTAGTAAAACTTTATTCATATGGGAATCAATGAAAACCAGAAAATTAATGCTAAGAATTTCAGAAACTAACAATACATTAAACGAGAATAGGACTAGACTTGACATAATGGAAGCCCAAATTAGTGAACTTGAAGATAAATTTCTCAATACTAGCAAGATAGAAGAATAATCAGAAAAAAAGAATGAAAAAATGTCTGAAGAAAGCATAAGGGATAACATGAAGAGGGGGATTTGAATTTCAGATAAGGATGAGGCAAAGAAAAGCACAGAAAGCATAGTCAAAGAGCTGATGAAAGAAAATTTCCCTAACATCATGAAAAATGAGAAATAAGAAATTGAATGAACCCCAAAGAGGTTGACCCCAAAAGAAAAGCATCAAGATATATCATAATCAGAAGCTCCAAAATCAAAA